AAAATGTGTTTGATTTTCTGTTTGGGATTAGGAGAAGAGTTCTATAAATACTCTTCATCACCCTAGTCTGTAGTAAGGGTCAGTCAGGTTAGTTTGTTTGGCTTGTCCGTATGAAATTTGGTTTGTAACCTGTACTCTCCTTAAATTAGTGAAATTTGTCCCCCTGCCCATGGATTAGCTAGCACACATTGTGCTATTGAACCACGTTAAATTTGTGTTCGTTCATGTTAGTTTGGATTATCAATTGCACGATTCCGTTCTGACACATAGCCTATAATGATGATGGAGGAGAAGCAAGAGCCAAGAGGTAACGATGGTCATGATAATCACTATGTCGAAAGGCCGACTCATCCATGTGACTGTAACATGGACAATGTAAGATATTTATGGCCTAGCATTTTAATTTCCCTGCTTAGAATCCAGTGACATCATTCGTTGTTTGGGCAGATATTTGAATCAAAGGCCTTGGAGAATATAATGTAGCAAGGAGAAAAAGAGAAGGAATTTTGGGGTGGGAGAACACGTGCTTTAAAAATCCCCTGTTTTATAAAAAAAAACAACCGGATTGTTCCCGCGATGTAGATTAATTTTGTATAAGGGCTAAAAACTCAGTACTTTAGCAACTAGCACCTAATCCAACATGCTTTATTTTTGAATTGATAGATCGGCACACTTAATAAAATGACACTTCTAGTAATGGTATGAGAGAGGAAATTATAATTTGACTAGGCCTCGAGAAATTGGTTCACGTGTTAATAATTTCATCAAGGATAATGTTCTCGTAGATCTTCCGCTTATTAAGTGGTGAACAATTCTACCAGACGATCATCCTCCATGTCCATTACAAAAGATAATCATATATTGATTGAAGATAGACACGGTTACATCCTGGAGAACAGCAAGGTCTGGAAATTAAAAGAGCGACATATAGACGGGTACAAAGAAATGGCTTTTCTAGCCACCGCATGGGCTACCCTATTGTTCCTCCGTCCTACAAACCGCATACTAAACCACGACTGGTTTCCCATACATTGCCCGATTTCGTCCAAGATCACCCCAATTCTACTATCTCTAGTCTCAGCTTGATTGACTTTATCGATGATGATTTTGGCATCGCCTTCAAAACGCACATCCTGGAACCCATTGGCCACACACCAAAGGAGAGCTTCTCGGAGGACAAGCGCCTCCACCACTAAAGGGTCATCAATAACCCCATACTGAACCCCTTGCGCCCGGAGGACCACCCTGTGAGGATCAAGAAGCACAATTCCGCCCGCAGAGTGGGACCCAGCTCTTGTAGCCCCGTCCCACATACACACCAGCGAGGTACCCCCCAGCACCCCTGGAGGATGGACAGTAGGAATCAGTCCCATCTCTGTCCTATCAGCCGGTATTCGGCCCCATTCGTCACACTGCTGATGAAACTGCCGCATCAAGGCCGGGAACCCAAATTGCTTGCCTTCAAAAACCACCCAATTATGTGACTTTCAAATCCACCAAAGAACTGCTACCACGGCCATGACCATACTAGGTTGATGGATTAAGTCAAACAGCCGTTTGAGAAACAAAGTAAAAGTGTGACGAGGCAAGCCTTGGCCCAGATGTTCAAGTCCAGAATAGTCCCATAAAGCCCGAGGGACTAGACAGTCCAAGAAAAGATGTTCATAGTCTCCGATACCTCCCAGCATACCGGGCAAAGAGGCAGAACATGAACACTTCTTTCATTGAGGCCCTCTGTGGTAGGTAGGATACGATAAAAATTTGCCAAAGGAACACCTTTAATTTTGGGGGAATATCAGCATCCCAAAGCCAAATCCAGCTGGCTCTATCCATCCAACTAGCCGTAGCCTTCCAACAACCATTTCTTATTGCCAGGTCAACGGCCAGATGATAAGCAGATTTGACAGTGAACACGCCATCCGATGTGCCATGCCAGATCAGTCTATACGCCATATTTTGCCGTGGAAGAGGAATAGATTGGATCTTTCGACAAGTAGAAGGGTCAAAGTCAAACCATTGGCTTAGTTTAGTGGCACACCAACCCCCTTCCCCATCCCAAGTCATAATCTCCGCCACCAACGGGTCACCCCCGACAGGAAGCACCTGCGGATTATAGGCCGTCTTCTCAGAATGCAATTGAGGAATCCAATTTGAGAACAACAACGATGCCGACTCCCCATTACCAATCTGCCAACGTAAGCCCTGCTCAAGCAACTGCCGCCCATAGAGAATACTCTCCCATCCCCAAGAAGGTGGCGAACGTGCCCGAGCTTGGAGAAAGGTCCCCATCGGGAAGTATTTGTCTTTATAAACTTGGGCTAGTAAGGATTGGGGGTCCTGGAGGATTCGCCACCAAATTTTCGCCAGTAGAGCCTGATTAAAGTGTTCAAACCGACGGAAACCCGTACCCCCGTCGTGTTTACTTTTGCACATATTCCGCCAGGACATCCAGTGAATCCTAGATTGACCCTCAGTCACTCCCCACCAGAACCGAGCGACATGCTTATCTAGCAGTCTACAAAGAGACAGTGGCATCTTGAAGCAGGACATAACATGTAGCGGTAAAGCTAGGGCTATGGACTTAATCAGGGTTTCTTTCGCAGCCCAAGACAAAGTACGTTGCTTCCACCCTTGTAACTTCTCCAGCAGCTTTTGCTCCAGGTAACGGAAGGTAGCCATCTTCGATCGGGCTATCAGGGTCGGAAGTCCCAAATACTTATCCTGGACCCCTACCGCACCCACCCCCAGAATCGCATCCAGAAACTCCTGATCAGCAGGGCCTATATTTTTACTAAAGCAAACCGCTGATTTGTCCAAATTCACCCGTTGCCTACTTAACTCCTTATACTCATTAAGAACTTCGATCAGATTTTCACATTCCTGAAGATTACCTCTCAGGAATAAGTAAGAATCATCTGCAAAGAATAAATGTGAGATATGAGGAGCTCTAGGAGCAACTTTCACACCACCCAGCCTCTTATCAGCAATTGCCTGGCGAAGAAGCGCAGCAAAGCCTTCTGTACAAAGAAATTGCCTGGGAGGATATCAGCTAGCCGTGCAGCCATGATTTTAGTAATTATTTTGTATACAAACTGGCACAGACTAATAGGCCACAATTGCCGCATGTTTTCCACATTGTCCACCTTTGGTATCAATATTATCCACGTGTGATTGAGGCTGCGAAGCATTCTACTCGTGGTAAAGAAAGAACAGACAGCTTCAATCACTGAATTGCCAACAATATCCCAGTAGGCTTTGAAAAAATTTCCCGTAAAGCCATCAGAGCCAGGAGCCTGTTTGGACCCCATTGCAAATACCGTCTTTCAAACCTCGTTAGGCAGGAGCTCCGCCGTTAGCATCTCATTCATCTCTTGGGTGACACTTTGATCAATAAGAAGACCCGCCACTCGCTCTGCCATGTTAATCACCTGATTTTCCGAAGTGAAAAGCTATTGATAAAAATGGCAGGCGATATCAGATTTCCCTTTCTCTTCAGTAACCCAGTCCCCATTATCATTATATAAACCGGCCACAAAATTTCTTTTCCGCCGCGTTCTAGTGACTGTATGGAAATAAGAGGTGTTTTTGTCACCCTTCTTAAGCTAGTGAAACCTGGATTTTTGTTGCCAGTACACCTCCTCGGCCTCCCATTGGCGATTCATTTCCATTTCAAGGGTTTTGACCTCGTTCCAGTTGATGGGGTGATTAGATTTGATATGTTCAATCTCTACTTGGAGCGTTTTGATATTCGGAAGCGAGTTAGTGGTCCCAGCCCTACTCCAATCATAGAGAAGATGCCTCAGATTCTTAAGTTTTTCCAGAGCTGATACATCGGGTCCCAGAAATTTGCTCCTGCCACAATAACTGACCATTGCCCTGACTTCCGGGTTGTCAGCCCAACGGGCATCAAACCTGAACAGGGGTCGACTTTGTCGAACAAATGGTTTGTCAGCCAGGAGCAGAGCCCGGTGATCTGAGCCAAGGTCAGTGCAATGTTTAACAAGGGTATCAGGGAATCGATCTATCCACAAATGGGAGCAGAGAGCCCTATCCAGACGTTCACGAATAGAAGCATTTCCAAGGCGCTTATTCGTCCAAGTGAACTTGTCCCCTGGTAACCGGGGTCCTGGAGCCCCAGATCAGTGATAAAGTCACGAAGACTAGTTGAGTGAGTACTATTCCAGGCATTGCCTCCATCCTTTTCATGAACGTGTAAGGTGGTATTGAAGTCACCAATAACCACAAAAGGGAGATGGATAGTGGCGATGACATCCCGAAGATGAACCAACTGGCTAGCTCTGAGAGCGGGGTTACAACTAATATAAACACAAAAAACAACGTAAGAAAACGCCATTTCATTAACTTCAATTCCAATACAAAAATCTGACTGGAAAAACACCGAAGCATCAACTTCAGGGTACCAAGCGACAACTAGACCACCTGATCATCAACAGCATCTACAAAGAAAGTATGCGAAGACTCAAAACCTAAACCACGAAGACGACGGGAGACTAATTTCCGGCGAGCTCTTGTTTCAGAAAAGAACACAACGTCCGGGTTGGTCCAAGGCCTCTCACATTCCAGGCCAATAGCCTCATTTATCTTGCTGGGACCACTTTAGGCTGGTTTCCTCCACCGCAGCAGCAACATCTCTTTCCTCCACAAATTGGCATTTCGGCGTAGGGAGCTCACAGTCGTCCCCATCCACCTTCTGAAACGCCCTTTTTTCTCACTGTTTTGTAGAGCCTCATAATTAGACCCATACTCATTCAACCCGCCAAGATCCTCAGTCAAGTTTGAGGAGTGCTCCCCCACAAGCTCGCCACCAAGCATACTCGGCGCATCATTCAGCGGCTGGGGCGAGAGGGATTTTCCAAAGTTGAGACCAGCCTCAAATGCTCGAACAACTTGTTAGACATGGCCAACGGTCGACGGCTGCCTCCTGCTTTTCAGAAGGTGGATGGGGACGACTGGGGAGGAAGTGAGAGCCACGACTTCCATCACAGGAACGTCCACCCATTTTCCACTATCAATGGACGCCTTCTTCGATGACTCCCGATCTGCCTTTTGGCCCTTGTTTCCAATCCGTGACCCTTTTTGTTTTTTCCACCAGCTTTATCAGGGCCTGATCGGCGGCTGGACGCTTTGGCAAGCTTCATAGTTTCAGCAAGGTTGTGCGATTTCAACTGGTCGAGCATATCACTCTCCATGTTCATGTCATGGGAAGCCATGTTCTCCAGCCCTCTGCCCACCGGCTTCCGTTCCACCTCCCGATCTGTGCCACCAAGCGAGGCAAACAAAGGCGATAGCTCGTCCTCCGACTCGTCCTCCAGCAGGAGTCTTCTCCGTCGAGCCGCCACAGCAACCGGGTGAACATCACAATTTTCAGGACGGGGAGGATTAGCTGACTCCCTCCCATGGGCAGCAGGTTCACCAGGTCGCCGCCCAACCACACCCGACCGACCCACCGTCTTGCCCATCGTCCCCGTTTTTCGCCATCCCTTTGGGTCAAGAAGGATAGGTCCAGCTCCTTGCTTCTACTTTCCTTTATTTTGATGGTTCATGCTAGGCCCCCGACCCACTTTTGGAGAGCGCGGGATCGAGAACCCTTTATTGAGCCTCTTTGGTTTTGTCTGCTTCTCTTTTCCCCGTGGTTCAGGGCCTCTTTGGCTCTCGGCCCTTTTCCCGCCCATCATATCAGGGTGGCCTTCACCATCCACTTCCACAGTGTCTAGCCTCGGTTCTTCTACATGAAGATTGTGAGGCGGGTTTCGAGGGCCATTGACGGCTTTATTAACCCAAACAGACTTAGACTGCCCTTGGAAGGGAATAGTGATATCATCCGCATCATAGACCCTTGTTCCCAGCATTTTTGTCATCATATGCGGGCCAAAATGCTCTTTGCGGGTTGGGGGATCGAAAGTACACTCTCTTTGGAAGTGTCCCACTCGTCCGCAATTGAAGCAAAAGGATGGGAGGTGTTCGTATTTAAGCCTGACCCAGAAGCCTCCCGTCTCCTCACTAGAAGCCATTAATTGTGAGCACAGAGGCCGAGAGAAGTCGATCAATGCTTTCACCTTAATGAAATATCGCCCGGTGTCCGTGCAAGAGTAAATCCCAGATTCTAGCACTTGTGCGATCGTAGGACCAGCCACCTTCATGCCAAACTTGGCTGTGCAGCAATCATCTTTCACATCCCGAAGTTGCACTCGGAATGGGGCCACCGCCAGCTCCTCATACGTCAGCCTGGTTATCGCCGGGTCCAAGTTCGAAGATGGATGATTTTGTCATTCACAACCCATTGAGTTCATTTTAGAACCCAAATTTTGGATTCTTCAGAGGGGAGGACGAACTCAAATAAGCCATGTTTGGCTTGCAGCACTTTGATCCTCCCCTTGCATTGCCATGGTAAATTCACCGATTCGCGAACTTCAGCAGTCGAGATCCTCGCCGTGGTGAAGATACGGCCAAGCAGCATATGGGATCGATGCGCATGAACAGACTGAACTTCATCAAGGGAAAATTGCACCACTTGGTCCTCACTCACATGCATCGCCATATTATTCTGCATAGAGGAGGAGGGTGTATCGTTAATTACCGTAAGCCTCATTGACTGCCATTGAGATGTCAGCAAATCCCACGGGCCGGCAGTGGAAGCGAGGTTATGTTCCTCTCTTAAGACGAAACAATTATTAGTAACAGGGGGATGTATCATACCTGGGGTAAGCAGGGATCCTGAGTTGGGGGGAATTCCAGCAGAGCTCTCAACACACGCTATCATCAGATGCTGCTCGCTATACTGCCAAAGTATGGAGTCGAGACTATGCCAGCGATTTAAATAGCAAGTGTTTATCGAGAGTTATTGACCAACTAGGCCGCTTACTTCCAGGACGCTTATCATGTCACGGTTTTGATGGGGGGGGGGGGGGGAGATAAGGGAGTCTCCGATTCACATCTCCATCCCCATCCAACAAAACCAACTGACATGCATTTTAAAAAATAAAATCCATGATTTTATTGCGTCGGCGGATCCTACGGGGGGCAATCCCCTCTACCCCACGCGCAAAATCCGGCGTTCGAATCCAGCAAAATTCAAAATTATTCCGTCTCCAGCTTGTGTGGACTCGCCGGACCTGACTGCGCCACCGTAATTGTTCCGGCCAGCCAGGGCTGATTTCGTGGCCCGGACGGCAGCACATTTTGTCCGGTTCGGTATTGTTCCGGCTTAGCTCCTGGAACCCTAGTGATCGGCAGGAACTAAACGTCAAGGTTGACGGTCTCTAATGGCTTCGATAGTGGGGTCCTCCTGGGAAGATCACGACAAGTTTGGCACGAGGGGGCATGTTCACCAACCATGTCGTCCAGCTCGTCCGACGAAGGGAGTTTAAATCTCCACATCGCTTTACGAGGAGCACTTCGGCTCTTCTTCCTTGCGGATGGGTTTATATCACACTCCGCCGAAAAACATATGTTTTTCCGTTTCAACTCCCTACTCTGGGATCGGAGCTTACCTCGTCGGCCGGCACCCCAAAACCCTTTTTCAGGTGGGCGTCGGCGGGGATAAGAAGCAAGTATTATTTCCTGATCTGGCAGCGATCCAGGTTCACACCACCACTGCGATTGGTTGTGCATACTAGCACGTAGGACTTCCTGCACAGTAACGATGAGTAAACGACCGATCAGTCGGCAAGCGCAGAGGAAAGAGGCGAGAGTTTCTCTCCACTTTTTTTTTTTTTCATGACTCAACGATTTAGTAGTCAAGATTTCCCACCCACCATCATGAAAGAAACTCTTGCTTTAATTTGGATCCCAAAATCAAAATCCTTTTTCAGAAAGAAATAAAATCAATTCCCCAGCACCTTCCTTTTCCTCCATCAGTGATCATCCTCCATGTCCATAGGTACCGAAAACAAAAATAGGACGAGCCAAATGCAAAAAATAAACGAACAAAGTCACCAGAACCGATGAAAAGAAAGAAACGTCGGTTGATTAGATATAGAACTTGTTAGAGATAAATGATTATTCATTTTCTCATTTTTCATTCTTGTTTTTTTTTTGTATTTTTCTGTTCCTATTCTTATGGGAAGTGGCTGCCATTTTGTTGCTACATGCACCACTTTTCACTAAACTCTCCTGTATATTAGTTGCACAAAATCATCAATGAGAATCAAGTTGGTTTTCACCGCAATCACAAGTAAAGTTCAACTTGTCGATCCAATCCAAGTTACGTCATCTTCAACTGCTCTGGCTCTCTGCCCCTACTTCTTTATTCCTCGGTTTTTTTTCTTCTTATTCTTCATCATGTCGGGCTCTTGTACCTCTGATAACTCATCACTAGCCGAAGGATCCATCATCACCTTCAATCCGGCTGCCCAATTGCCCGTGAAATTGACCTCCACAAACTTCAATTCCTGGCGGTCTCAATTGGAGACCCTTCTGATGGGTCTTGATCTCATTCGATTCATTGACGTCACCTGGTTTGCACGTGCTCGCACAATCACCGTCGACAATAGCACCAGTCCCAATCCAACTTATCATCATTGGTTTTGGCAAGATAATCTAATCTTGCACGCTCTTGGTTGTTCGATCTCCGAGTCACTCTACTCTTTCGTTTATGCGGCAGTGACTTCTCGAGAGGCTTGACTTATCCTTGAAAAATTATATGCCGGCCATTCTGGATCTCGAATCATCAATCTTAAAGGGAAGATTTCTCGAACTACAAAGGGGAATCGCGATGTTCTTGCTTACGTGAACGATTTGAAGCAGACAACAGCAAAACTAGATTTGGTTGGGGCTTCAGTCTCTGATCGGGATCTTGTGGTACACTGTCTTCGCGGACTCGGTCCCGATTACAACCACTTCTCGGCGACAGTTTGTGCTCGTGGAACAAGTGTGTCCATTGAGGATCTGCTTGGTAGTCTCATTGAATACGAGGCATGTTTGGGGGAGCAAACCAGGTCCTCCGCAGTACCCACCGTCTTTTTATTCTGAAGCACCGCCTCGTCGTACTCCAAGCAGCAGCGGCAGATATAGTTGTGGCGGGAGCTCCCCTCTTCCTCGCTCTCATCTGTGGTCCCAGCAGATGGGCTTCCACCTTGAGCTCATTCATTATCTCTCCACAAATCAGGCCGTAGGCTCATCTCTCCCAGTTGAGCCCAGTCGCCGACGCAGGTCCAACCTGATTTGTCAATATTGTGAAAACCCTGGACACTCGGTCCGCCAGTGCTTTAAGCTGTTCTCACAAGCCCGCCAAGCTTTCCAGCAGGCTCGTCAGGGCCAGCAGGCTAATCATACTCAGTTGGGCACTTCCGCTGCTTCTGGGCCTTGGCTTATGGATACGACAACTTCCCATAATGTAACTTCCGATTTGGGGCAGCTCTTTCTATATTCTGATTTGGAGCATCTCTCTTTATTCTTTTCTTTGTATGTTTCTGTTCCTATTCTTGTGGGAAGTGGCTGCCATTCTGTTGCTAAGTGCACCACTTTTCACTCAACTCTCCCTGTATATTAGTTGCACAAAATCATCAATGAGAATAAAGTTGGTTTTCACCGCAATCACAAAATTCGCAATTCACTTTCAGAATATCTAATCGACCCATAGATAAGAGGGCTTCTTAAGCCATTCGATGGTTACATAAAGGCGAAATATATCATCATATATACTAGTTTCTCATACACATTAATGGCTGTAACATGTTAGAGATTCGATTTTTTGGAAAGACATGGTGCAAGCCGATGTAGTTCCTTCATTGGCCCTTCCGCTTGAGGAACTTGGACAAATACATTGGAGTTGGATCTGAAGACGAGTCATACAGTCTATGCATGACTGCCTGCTGTTTGTTGCAGGACAAAAAGCATCGCCTTTAATCCGACCGCCATAGGTAGTGCTGTATGGAAAACCCAGAGCCTGGGTGGGCGTCTCTCGAGCCAACGTCGTCAGAATGTTGGTGACGTAACTCGGCCACCCCGAAACATCAGAAACGTCGCCGTTGTTGCAGGACTGAGCTGTAGCCTTCTCGATTCCAACGCTCAAACACGCTACAACTACCAACAAAGTCGCCATGGCCCTTACTTTCTGCTTGCTATCGATCTCTTGTACGAGTTTGTTGCTTCTTCTTTTTTTCATTTTTCTTTGGCTTTGGCTTTGTAGAATGCGATGATATGAGCTATATTTGTTGGTTTTACGCTCCCCCTTTTATAGAGGCTAGTGACATCAGTTCCGTCGTCCAACACTGCCCCTTATTGGCTTCGTTCGTACGTCGTACATGGAAGGAACCAAGAGGAAACTGTTGTGCAACTAATCTTGAATTTCTATTGTTCAACAAGTTATTGTTTTATAGCGGGTTGACAGCATTTGAAGAATTAGTGCAACCCTGAGGAAAAGCAAGTTTCGTTACTAGCTACAATAAACAAGAAACTTCCATTCTAATTAATTCAAGTACTTAACTAATTACGCACGTATGTCAATTGGCTTAAACTG